CAACTGGCCTCCTCTTTTTCTTCTCTTAGCTCTGGAATACTGTTTGATACCTTTCATCAAGTGAAAATTAAATATATCAAACTATGCCAGCGAATGCTCAGTCCTCCTCCCACTCTGCTCCAAAGGTTAATGAGACTAGGGCTATCCTAGAATAATTTAAGTGGAATAGCTGCTAATGCTAATGTCTTGAGAAAATAATCCAAAATGTCAATGGGAAGTTGAAACATGGAAAACAATAATGTTGAAAGGGATTTAGGAGTGACAATGGACATCAAATTAGACATGAGTTTCAATGTGTTACAAGAGCAGAAAGGTAAATGCCATTTTGGGTGGTATACATGGATAGTACAGTGATGGGCATAGTGTATGTACCTAGCTAGACAATATTCCCTGCCTATATAGACTAATGCAAACCTACCTAGAACTTTATGTTCAGTGTTGGATGTTGTCCCATTGCTGGAAAGCTATTCACAACTGGAGGCAGCTGAGAAAACAGCAGAGCTGATTAAAGTGCTGGAACAACTGAGGAAGAGAAAAGAGTTAAATATGTCTAACCCAGCTAAGTACAGGTTGAACCTCTCTAGTCTGTCACTCTCAGGATCGGTTTGATGCCAAACTAGAGAATTTGCCAAAATATTGGAGGTGAATATTGTCTAGCAGCATTACCAGCACTTCCATTGATTACTGGGCTCTTAGAAGACATTTAGAAATAAAACAGAGCTAAATAACAGCAAAGAACGTTGAGAGCCAAGATTGGTGGCTGTAAACAAACTTTATGGGACCGTGGGAAACTTGGCAACATCCATGAAAAGTGACCATCCAGCTAATTAATATCATGCCGGACCACAGATGTTGCTGGACCAGAAAGAGCCAGACTAGAGAAGTTTAACCTGTAGCCAGACAGGATGTGCTTACAATTCACAGCTACCGTATCCGAAGGGAAAAACACTAAAGGAGGCATTATTTAATATAAACGATAACCATGAGTAATAGTCTGAAGGGGAAGCCTTAGATTGAATATTAGGGTAAAGTTCTTGCTAGTGAGCTCATTTAGCTTGAATGATTTGGCACATTCAAGACGAAGCTGGAGAAAACATAGCAGAGAGAATATTCATACGTTACCAGAAGATGGATATGTTGAACTCTATAGACCTTTTCCATTTCTGCACTCTGATTTTTTTTTGGAACTTCTAGGAATAGATCATGCAAGGTTTTGAACACTTCTTGAGAAGTTCTGAGTGACCTCAGCTCCCAGAGAGGGAAAGCAACCTCTGGTGGAATCAGACACAGGGTTGGATCAAATAAAAATTAATGTGGTGGACTCACCTTTGTCGTCATTAAATGTGCATCCATGCCCTATCTAAAATTCAGCATGATTGGCAAATTCTGTTCAAGAAAACCCTAGGTCTGACAGGAGATAGGCAAGCATAGTTTTGTGGGGGAGACACTGGCCTAAAGGTCAAGAGACTTGAATTCATGCCTTGGCCACAGACTTCTTGTGTGAACTTAAAGGATGATTTAAAGCCCACTGAAGCCAATGAGAATGTTCCCATTGACTTCAATGGATAGTGGATCAGATTTTTAAGCATTCTATGGGCCAATGCCCCATATGTAAAATGAGGCAGAGAGATAATGGTAGATATATGGGGATCTATCTAGACAATGTTGCAGGTCAGGAGTGAGTGGCATTACAAGAACTATTTAGGAAAGTGTGTGCATGGCCTGCACAATGACTAACTTCAGTTATTACAGTGTATCCCTCACATCCATTTGTTGTAAACTCATATTAGAAAACTGTTAAAATAGTATGTAATGGAAAGTTTGTTTAATGGCTATTAAAAAAAAAAGTGTAGTCCAGATTTATGGAATTCTGTTATACAATTTGGAGTAGAATATGCATGTAAATTTAATAACACCCAGGAATCGATAAATAAACTCATTTATTCTTTAGTATTTCCTTGCAAAATTAAAGTTTAATATGTTATAACATTCTGTAAATCATGCCCCATGAAGTTTAATAGTTTTATGCCTGCCATGTAAAAAATGTGACCTCCCCATTTATTCATATATAAAACAGAGAACTGAAGTCTCATCTGTATAATTATCTATTTTTGGTGGACCATGCATGATTAAAATCACAGCCTTGCTCTGTTAAACTATCAAGTCTGCCATAAATATTTGATGATGAACAAGCCCATAAAAAGAAAAATGCAGAATATGAATAGAGGGTGAGCAAATACGTAATTCAATTTTTAATTACCAGTGTCTCATGCTAAAGTCAAGTTCATCTTCCATAAGAGGAAGAAAATAACCCACAATTTCCTCTCTTACTGTAAGCTTCTTTAAACAATCAGCATCACATCTCAGTTTAGAGCTCTAGTGAGGAGACAAATCATCACAAACAAAAGAACAGGACACAAAGACTATGGTAGAACAGTCTAGTTTTATTACCTTATGCAATCAAGAGCTTTTTTCCTTTCCCTTTTCCCCTTATTTTCCCCGTTCTTTCTGGGTTTTTAGTTTGTTTTGTTTTGTTTTTTTTACAACATACATTAAGTTGTGAATCAGATGTTAGGGGGATGTGGAGATGAAGGAAAAGTCAGTGACATCACAATATTTTACAACTTTACAACAAATGAGAGTCTGAATTTGTTGCATCTACCAGTGTATATCAAGGGTGGAAAGCAAAGGCACACTTAGGTTTATGTACCCCTCTAAGTGAGGGGTGCCAGGAGATTCAGTGTAGAAGGATTAAAACAGAAGACCCACTGAGTACAAAATGAGCATTTCAAGGTCAACCTGGTAACTGATGTGACGTATACTACAAAGGCATATCTCTGTACAAGGCTGTTGCAGTGATTATTCATTTTTACATGGTCAGAATGCTTTGCTTAATAATAGCAATGGGCACTGCACATTTGGTACTCAAGGGGTTGGAGTTTGGGGGGGTAGAGGGAGGAAGGCTGTAAGTTTCTACTGCTACTTTTTGTTTTGTTTTTTAAGAAAAAAAAGACTTTGCTGCTACATACTGTTCTGAAAGGGTTTAAATAAAAAAATTGCTTTGGATACAGATCTATCTACAGCAGTCTGCATAGTTCACTAATTGTGAACAAGTCAGTTTAATAAAAAAAGCAGTGATGGAATGAAAGATTACATGCAAGCACCCTTGTTACACACTTTGGTCTAGATCATCCAGACTTTCTAAATACCATCTACACGCTAGCTGACTTGAACTCTCTTTTTGATTGTTCAGAAACAAAACCAAAACTCTGCAAAACAAATTAATTATAAAATTCCCAATGAAAACAACTTCCTCAAATATACTGCCCAGTAGATAAAAAACAAAAATGGCCTTCCCTTATTGTTTACAGTATGTCGACAGAGTTTTTATAACAGGTTAAAAATAAATCTATTTTTGTGCATGAATAACTGAAACATTATAAAATACCTTACACATGGGCATGGGCACACTTAGGCCACATGCAGAGTCACATGAAAGGAAAAAATCAAAATTAATTCCCTCCCCAAAGGTTTTATATGCTGCATTGTTCTGGATGGCCTTATTGTAGCGGTTATTTAGTTACAGCAGGAGCCAGCCTGCCTTATCCTACTTCCATTTCATTTCATATACTTGGTATGCACATGGCAGAATGTGTCGATGGTGCTTGCTTCCGGTGGCTGGCCAGTCACACACAGTGCTTGTCTCTATCTAGTGGATAAACCAGACTTGGAAACAGTACATTACTCATTTCTCTATATACTGAAATGATATGAAAGTATAAGAGGGAGGAAATTGCCAACCACAATACGGTGTCTATGCTGCCAGCATAGCTTAGAGGTGGTCTGAGGGCAGAATTGGCACAACTAGAAAGTCAAACTGAATTGAAGGGTATAGCACTACTCTAGTTTCTTGATGGATATGGTGGTGTTACAGTAATCACTACATTCTTTGAATTTCTTTACTCCAATTCTTCATGGGGCTTAGTGGAGAGAAAGTAAATAAATATTTGCATTTATTCAAAGGGTGTGTTTAGGGGAAGGTTTTACATACTACAGCTCACAAACATACACAACTGAGGGTGTAAGGCACAAATTTACATGTGGAAGAAAACAGGCTATTCACAGATGTATTCCCAAGAAAAACCCGTGTGATAAGACCATAATTTATGCATGGTAACAGCCGGCATATTAATTAGTTCACACTGTTTGTGGATTTTGTTTGCCATCTCACATGCAAGGTGAAATGAGATGGCACATCACAAGCTGGTGCCTTCACAGAAAGTATTAATGACTGACAAAGCCATGTTGACAGCAATGGTGCACAAATGTGCAGTTTTTAAAGAGTTCCTTTTACAGTTGCTTTAGGAGTTATGAATTCAGGGGATTTTATTTGTTTGCCTGTCATAGAGCAGAAGCCCAGCCAGCAAATTAACTAACAGATTTAAATAAATATTCCCCCTTTTTCAGCTAGAGAGCAAACAGTCCAAACACAAAGTTCAAAATTCCAGCTCCAACTTATTTAACTCAGTGAATTTATTGGAAAAATAAAAGAGTTTTAATTACTCCAGTTAATGGGTTTCACGTTAAATAGGTATAATTTTCAACGTATTTTTTTTTTCTGAAGAGCTGCTCATAGGATGATATGCAGAAGTCATTTCCTTAGGAAAAACAAAAGATGAACAATAAATAATAGGCGTTATTTGCGTTAACAGTCACATGTTATTCATTAAAAGAGAAGAGTAGCAGAAATCTATGACATAGTTTTGCCCAACGTGGCATTTATCTGCTATAACCAAATGGCTGTAACACTGATGGGCATTTCACAGTACCTGCACAGAATAAACGTCTGCCATTGTTAAGTCAGAGTTAGCTTTATCAATGATTTTTTTTATTTTGTATTTAATTTTTAAGTTCTTTTATTTGCTTTGCTTTCAGAGC